AGTGGCAAGGAACCGCGTACTCACAAAGGTGGCTGATGATATGTGGGTGCCGCTGGAGAGGTGGCTTGGAAAGAAGCCTCCAGTGGACATGCTTAGAGTGTTCGGATGCATGGCTGTGGCGCATGTCCCTAAACCGTACAGGACAAAGCTTGGAGCATCTGCACTTTGGTGTGTGCACCTTGGGCTTGCGGCAGGGAGCAAGGGGTGGCTACTCTGAGAGTCCTCAAAGAATGTGTTGTTTGACAGTCGGGATGTCAAATTTGTGGAGAACATCATATATGTCAAGTGGGAGAAGCAGCCGGAGGCAAGGGTCACCCAGCAGCTGGAAGAGATCACTATGCACTTCGATCTGTCCGAACCTGAGGACAGCGAAGTCACTGCGCCAACGGCAAGCGGTACTGATGAAGGAAGCAATGAGGATATTGCAGCTGATGCTGAAGTCAAGGATCTGGAGCAGCAGCAGCAAGAGGCTTCCAAAACACCAAGTCTGCCAAAGCGAAGGAAACAGATTGGTGGGGGGACAAAGGATTGGGTGGAAGGTGAAAGAATGGGTAAATCCAACCATCTACCCTGCACGTACCAGAATGGCAACGAGAAAGCTGCTGAGCTCCACAAGTGGAGGAGCCACAACTGAGCAGCAGGAACAGGCTCAAGGCGAAGATGCAGTGCTGTTCTTGGGTGATGACCAAGAGTCAGATGACGAGGAGCCTGCATACTGCTTTTACGCACCAATACAACCTCCGAGCATGGATCATGCGCTAGCCAGGCCTCAACGGGGGAAGTGGCTCGTTTCAAGAGATGCAGAGTACAACAGCCAGATGGAGAATCACACATGGGACCTGTGTACTTGCCAAATGGGAAGAAGTGGCTGGCAAAAATCAAGACGGATGAGAAAGGAGAGCCATCCGTTTACAAGAGCAGGCTGGTGGCAAAGGGGTTTCAGCAGAAAGAGAAGGAAGATTACAAAGAAGTGTTTGCCCCAACTGCTAAGTCTCCAACGCTACGTGTGCTGCTGGCGGTAGCTGCTGTGCGCAAATGGAAGGTGAAGCAGATGGACATCGTAACCGCTTTTCTGTACGGCATTGTGGAAGAGGAGGTGTACATGGTTCAACCACCTGGCTATGAGGATGGAACCGGTCGTGTCTGCAAACTTAACAAGGCCATCTATGGCTTGAAGCAGGCCCCGAGATGCTGGTACAACAGGCTGGCCAGTGCACTGGAAGGGATTGGATTCCGTGCGAGTGCGTGCAATGAGAGCCTATTCCTGATGGGAGAGGGGAGTCACTTGTGCTTCTGCTGGTGTACGTGGATGACATCCTGCTCTTCAGCAGCAGTGACAAGGAGATCGATGGGGTGCAGCGGAAGCTCACAGAGCAGTTCAAGTGCAAGTCACTTGGAGAGGCAAGGTACTACCTGGGAATGCACATTGAGCGGGATACTGAACGTGGCTGGCTCAAACTGCATCAGGGACAGTACATCAACACCTTGGCTGAGAAGTACTCTCTGCAGGAAGAACGGGAAGTGGTCACACCTTTGCCTTCCGAGTTCAAACTCATAAAGGCAGCTGAAGGAGAAGGAGTTGAGAGTGAATACCAGAGGCAATTCCAATCCATGGTCGGGAGCCTACTCTACGCTGCTGTGCATACTCGGCCTGACATCAGCTTTGCTGTGGGACAGCTGGCTCGAGTAGTGCAAAATCCAACAGAAGAGCAGTGTGGTGCAGCGGAGAGAGTGGTGCGCTACCTTAAGTCATACCCTACAGTGGGAGTACAGTATTCAGCCTCTGCTCAACTCAGTCAAAAAGGAGTTGAAGTCCTCAAAGAGAAGGGGGAGCAGCTCGGAGAAGGAAAGGTGTTCCTTTCCTATTTTGCTGATGCCACATGGGCTTCTGAGCATGAGGATTCATCATCAGTTGGTGGATACATCTGCATGGTGGGAGGTGGGCCTGTAAGTTGGAGGTCCAAGAAGCAGTCTGAGACGGCACTATCTTCAGTGGAATCTGAGTACATGGCGATGTTTCATGCGGCAAAAGAAATCATCTGGCTAAGGAGGCTCTTGAAGGAGATCGGCCATGAACAGACTTGTGCGACACCTCTGTTCAGTGATAGCAAGGGAGCCATTGCCATGGCACGCAATGCAGTTCTTCATGGGTTGAACAAGCACATGAGGATCAAGTGGCATTGGCTACGGAAGGAGGTGAAGCTTGGGACACTGGATCCGATCTACGTGAAAACTCAGCAACAGCCAGCCGACTTCCTTACCAAGCGGCTAGCTGAAGAGCCACACTGGCGCTGTGCGAGGATGGCGGGAATGTCCTTGAACTAGAGACGGCGAAACAAGCCGACAGTCTGAGGGGGAGTGTGTTGGTGCATATTCATTTGCACGTCATCCTGTCGTCTGTTCGCATCATTTCGTTTGCATGTGTTTTGTGTGCTACGTTGTTTGTATGGTTTGTTGGGTTTGCATGTCTTTGCATGTTCATCTTGTGCTTGTGCAGATGTGCTTGGATTGTGCATGACATCGAGCACATTCCAACGAGCCAAGAATTGTTGGAATCGGAGCACATATGAAGAAGTTACGAAGAAATGTTTGATGGATTTGTTACAACTCATTGGAAGTCCTTGTCAGCTGCTACACCAAAGTTGGAGAGCCCTATAACGAGGAGGGACCAGCATGTGTGGGACTTTTGTCCCCACCTTGCAGCTGCAGCATTTGGGGTTTGGAGACCAACCTGGCACAGTGTGAATTTTGTCTTGCCAGGCTGGCTGAACCTGAGGATGGGGAGTCAAAACTTTGACTCTTGTCATGTTCTTGACCATGGGCCTCCAGGGTCCTTCCCTTTCAGATCGTTTCACCGATTGGAGTTTTGGATATAGCTATTCGAAGGTCGCGAGTTTTCTGGGCGTCATAACGAAGTGCTGCAGAAATTTCCAAGGAGCCATTGAATCATCTGCTTATAGCCTTCTCTAACCAACAGCGAGGAGCACGATTGACCATCCAGCTTGGCGGCTTCGAGGCGGTCCCATTGACGGCATACCATTCGTCATCCTTTTTCTTGAAGCAGGAGGCAAGGGCGTTGTTGGTGCCGCCACACACCTGGCCGGCACGAGGGCCACGCTTGATGACATAGGGACACGGGGGGAAGCGGTTGCGCTGGAATGGCACCGAAGCGGCATAGGCTTGAGGCACAGGAGCGCGGATTGCATTGGCCTTGGCTTGAGCGCTGTTGTCCTTTTCGGCAGAAAGGAGCGCGGATGAGACCTTGGCAAATGTGAGGTCTGCAGGAGCAAGGCCCAAGAGCATCTTGCGTGTGACTTCGTATGCCGGAGTGAGGCCGACTAGGAGAGCGGCTGCAGGGGCTTGCTCGGGGAAGACTATCCCCAACTGTTTGAGTTCACCATGAATGGACTGCACCTTGGTGACATAGTCCGCCATGCCTGGCGAGTCCTCGAGCCGCACTTGGAACATGCTGGGGATGAGTATAGCAACTCCCACTGCAATCTTGTTCAGGAAGCGATCCTCGAGGTAGAGCCAAATGGCGTTGGCAGACGGGTAGTTGTGGTAGGTTTCGACGAGTTCGGGAGGAGTGGTGCCCATGAAGACACTAATGACCGCACCATCGACCTTCTCCCAATTCTTGTACTTGAGCAGTGCAGCAGCATAAACTGCTTCGGCGGCGGCATTAGCTGGATTGGCGGACCTCTCGGATTTAGGAGGCTCTTTGCCGTCACCGATGTTGAGACGGACGTCGGTGAGCTCGAGCCCCTTCACCTCGCGACTGAGGAGGTGCTTGTCGACACCTTAGCGCCAAGCCTTGTAGTTGGAGCATGTGGTGTTCGGCTCGAGACGAAGGAGCGGGATCGGGTTGGCGAGTGAAGTGGTTGAGTAAGCCATTGTCGGTGTGCAGCGCGGCACTTCTGGAAATTGGTCGACGAGAATTGCTGAAAATCACTCTGACGGCTGTATCAAAATGCCGCTAAGTAGGAAATGGCGTCGGCGAAAATTCGTTAAAACGCCGACTTGAAACTGAATCTCAGCCTACGTCTAACCCCGGACCTACACACCCCCCCACACACCCCCAGGCCCTGTCCCGCAGCTACACAGCTCCGCAACCAGCTCCGCAACCAGCTCCGCAACCAGCTCCGCAACCAGCTCCGCAACCAGCTCCGCTCCGCTTCAACCTGTGTACCTGCACTTGCTTGACGCGAGACGTTCGTGGAGGCGATTTCGCGACGGGAGTTCGCCTATTCTGGAGGGGTCTAATGGGAAACTCGAGAACGAGTTTTAAGAGATGTTCGAAATTGAGATTCGACCAAGGAGAACCGAGGAGGAAATCGACGATGAGAAGCGTGAATGCTTCAGAGATGAGAAATTCAACGAGGTCGAGCGCGAAGGCGGTCGACGATGAGAGGCGCGACTGCAGACTGGAGCACGTCGGAATTCCGACGACTCGAACAAATGTCGCGACGATGAAGTGCGCGTAGCGCGGGCACGTTGAGATTAGGACCTCGATCCGCGTGTGCGGATAGGTCGCTCTGATACCATGTAAGAAATAGAGTTGAAATGATTGATTAGGTAAGGAGCCCAAGGCTTTATAAGTATATGGCAAGGTGAGAGAGAATGGATGAAGGGGGAATTGGAGGGAATCCCCATTGGGATCTCCGGAATCTCCAATTGGGTAACTGGAAATTGGGAGGATCACAATTGGGTGAGGTTGGGATTTGAGAGTACACCCCAACCCACTAGAACATTCATCACCTAAACTAGGATATAAAAGTACAAATACAAAAGTGGTATTTGCAGTCTAATTCTAACAGTAACGAGAGAGGACACTAACCGGGTAAGCCAAGTCTGGTCAAGTGCACATCATGGCATACATCACTGAACCGACTAGCTCAGGGTACAGGTCCTTGCAGGGGTCAGGAGAAGGAATCGGAGGGGCCGTCAGCTGATGCTGTAGTGGGAGTGGAGTGGAGACAAAGTTACTGGAGTCCATGTCGAACCGCTTGAGAAAGTTGTCGATGTAGGACTGGGAGAGGGTGATCGTGCAAGCCTGGCGGTCACGAGTGATCTCCATCCCCAGGTAGTTCTTGAGGTCACCAAGATCCTTCATGAGAAGGGCGGAGCTGAGAGCAGACTGGACAGCTGCCATCTCAGCTGGATCTCTGGCGACTAGAATGAAGTCGTCGACGTAGACGAGGATGTAGAAGGGCTCAGAGGAGTGACGAACGAAAAGACTGGAATCTGAGGTGGAGGGATGAAAGTCAACTGCAAGGAGGACTTCCTTCACCTTGTTGTGCCACTCACGAGGAGCCTGCTTGAGGCCAGTTGACTTGCAGGAAGTCCTCCTTGCAAGGTGAAGGAAGTCCTCCTTGCAGTTGACTTTCATCCCTCCACCTCAGATTCCAGTCTTTTCGTTCGTCACTCCTCCGAGCCCTTCTACATCTTCGTCTACGTCGACGACTTCATTCTAGCCGCCAGAGATCCAGCTGAGATGGCAGCTGTCCAGTCTGCTCTCAGCTCCGCCCTTCTCATGAAGGATCTTGGTGACCTCAAGAACAACCTGGGGATGGAGATCACTCGTGACCACCAGGCTTGCATGATCACCCTCTCCCAGGAGTCCTACATCGACAACCTTGTCAAGCGATTCGACATGGACTCCAGTAACTCTGTCTCGACTCCTCTCCCACTACAGCATCAGCTCACGGCCCCTCCGGTTCCCTCTCCTGACACCTGCTAGGATCCGTACCCTGAGCTAGTGGGCTCGGGTGTACTCGCAAAATCCCAACCTCACCCAATTGTGATCCCCCCAATCTCCAATTACCCAATTGGAGATTCCGGAGATCCCAATTGGGATTCCCTCCGATTCCCCCTTCATCCATTCTCCCTTACCTTGCCATGTACTTATAGAGCCTTGGGCTCTTTACCTTATCAATCATTTGAGCGTATGGAAGAGAATTGTGCACGATTTCGGATTGAATGTTATCTCTGAGACTAGCCATGCTGAGGCCAAAGATGCCATAAGTCGATTGGTCCCGTCTTATCATGGACCTTCTTTGTCGTACCGTTGTAGGGTAAATTTACGAACACAGTGACGAAAACTAGCGTATCCGCCGCGAAACTCAGGGTAACATAGCACGGTCGACTGTGCACCCTTTCACTATTAGAATCACGTCAAAATCCACGGGGCTCGTCACGGTGCAGCAGTTGAAGAAGCCCCGACTGGTGGGGAAGAATATCCGGGTTGAGGTCTGGTGAGGAAGAGGGTCACTCCAGTGCTACATACTCATGCTCTCCATGCCATTCCAAGCCTAGGCGGGACAAATGGCTTGGAATGCCTTGGAGAGCATGAGTATGTTGCGCTGGAGTGACCCTTTTCTTCACCAAACCTCAACCCGAATATTCTTACCGAACAGTTATAACTTCTTCGACTGCTGCACCGTGATGAGACCTGCAGATCCTAGCGTGATTCTAATAGTGCAAGGGTGCACGATCGACCGTGCTACGATATCCTCAGTTTCGCGGCGTATACTCTAGTTTTCGCTGCTCTGTTCGTGGTTTTACCCTATAGCGGTACCACGAAGTTGACCTTTGATAAGATCGAACCAATCGGGTAATGGTATCTTTGGTCACACCTCAGCGTGGCTAGTCACGAAGACAACATTCACTCAAAAATCGTGCACAAATTTCTTGCATACGCTCAAATCCTTTGCGATCTTCCTAGTGCAGCAGGTGACGATGGACTTCGTCACAGGACTGCCTGCAAAGGACGGCTGTAATGACGCGATATTTGTCGTCGTCGATAAGCTGACGAAGATGGCCCACTTCGCCGCCTGCAAGGAAAGTATCTCAGCCAAAGAAACAGCCCGCCTCTTCATCCCAACTGTCGTTCACCTCGATGGAATTCCATCCGCCATCATTTTGGATCGTGACACAAAATTCACCAGTAATTTATGGCGCAACCTATGGGAACAGTTTGGCACGCGCCTGCAATTCTCCTCCGCCTACCACCCCGAGACTGACAGACAGACCAAACGGGCCAATCAGACGATGGAGGAGCTGATTCGCACCACCTGCGACGACTGGGAGCAGCAACTTCCACTCATTGAGTTTACGTATAATAATGCCCCGTCAGCCACTACACGACAGTCACCTTTCTACCTGAATTAAGGACAAAACCCTACACTACCAATCACACCCAACATAAAAAATCCTATACATCGAGCCCAACAGTCCGTTGAAATATTACAGAATGCCCGGGAGTGAGCCACCGAAGCCATTAAGCACGAGAATGTTATTTGAAAGCGCAACACTGACCTACACCAACGAGCAGTGACATACCACGCTGGAGACATAGTACTGCTCGACACTCAGAACCTTCGACTGCCCATCGTCCCAAAACTTCGCCCTCGATACTGCAGACCATTTACAATCAGCCACATGATATCCTCCGTTACAGCCCACCTACTGCTACCAGCCACCTGGAACGTAAGCCCATCATTTCACGTGCGGTTACTTTGACCATACATCGCCAGCACCAGTAAATCACCACATCACCGAGCAACCCGAAACATCCGACCGCTCTCCGAGCCTACTGTCGAACCTGCGAAGATTCTCAGCCATTGGATCAAGGACCCTCAAGGGGCCCGCCTGATCGAGTTTCTGATATCTCGGAAGGACTGAACGGCCCTGGAAAATAGTTGGGTGCCCTTGGCACAAATCGAGAATTACCCGGTGTTACGAGTCTACATCCAGTCACACAACATGCGCGACGTCGGCGGTCTTAGCTAAGAGAATACCTTGGAGGGGGTAGGGTGTAAGGAAATGGTATTTCCTTATCACGGGTTTAGCTAAAAAGGCGTGCACTGCTATAACGATGTTGCCGCGCAGCTCTGCCACGAAATTCAAATCGCGGTACCCAAATGTGGCCTCCTGACGAGCTGCATGCCTGCCTTGCTGTTTGATGGCTATATCAGGGCGTTCGCGCCAATTTATGAACCACACGTCGCAGCTCTGCCGAGCCACGATCGTGTGCTCTAGGCTAGCTAATATCCATGCTCCCTACTATTTTGATGTTGCCTTCAGTTGTATTGTTTCCTCGTTACTCAACTTTTCGACACACGCTCTTTGCGCATCATTACAATATGTTATGAAATAGGATGTATCAATGAATAAAAGCGTGAGAACACAAGGCCGCTATTGCAATGAAGGCGCGAGCTTAAATAGGGGCTGTCATGCTAGGGTGATAACCTCGGGATGTGGGTAGGTTCGGCAATGTGGCGACAATGCCGGACGCGACTCGGGCAAGGGCTGGGCCAAACAAATGAGGCCGAACGTGGCGAGTCGAGGAGTTCGGGTGTACGCGCTAGCGTACAAATCAGTAAGGAATGGAAATTCCTTACACTACCCGCCCTCCCAAACGAGGCCGCGGGCATCGGAAACATTCCGACAGTGATAATATGTTGTTAGAACCGGATGTGATTATATATCAGCGAGAGGCACCCAGCTGTCATGTTCAGACGTCCGATCATGCCAGCGGATTAAGAAATCCACCATCCGACGGTTCGGCAGCGTGGTGACGCGATGGCCGAGAATCTTCAGGGCTCGGTTGCTGGTTCTTGCTGGGGGGTCAGTTGCAGGACAATTCACTAACGTGCCAAGTTTGACGAACTCGGGATGTAGGGTCGCAGAAGGCTGACGTGGAAAGCCGGGTCGTCATGCCAGTCGGCTAGGAGTCGGAGGTACACTGTGACTGGTGTCACCACGTTGGTCACTTGAAATGGCTTATAGTAGCGAGGGCGGAGTTTGCCTGGGATCGGCAGGCGCAAGTTGCAAGTGTCGAGTAGAACGAGGCCCCCCACCTTGTAAGTGACGTGACGTCAGTGGAGATCGGCTTCTCAGCTTGCGACCAAGTTGGCTTTTCGGATGGCCTCGGCTGCTTTTTCTCGACCGTCGAGAGTGTATTCTGCAAAACGTTAGGATCGGGGAACTGGGGTCTCACTATTGGCCGTAGAGGGTACTACAAGGGACTTGTCTGAAGTTCAGGAAAACTGGGGACTGATGGTCTGTTGCTGTGGGCGTAACTTATACGCGAATTCCAGCAGGGGAAGGGATTTCTCCCATGTGTGTGGGTCAGTACAGGTAGTCCGAATGTGTTGTTCCATAGTTTAGTTCAATCGTTCGGTCTGCCCGTCGGTCTGTGGGTGGTAGGTGTAAGAAATAGAGCTGAAATTATTGATTAGGTAAGGAGCCCAAGGCTCTATAAGTACATGGCAAGGTGAAGGAGAATGGATGAAGGGGGAATTGGAGGGAATCCCCATTGGGATCTCCGAATCTCCAATTGGGTAATTGGAGATTGGGGGGATCACAATTGGGTGAGGTTGGGATTTGTGAGTACACCCCAACCCACTAGAACATTCATAACCTAAACTAGGATATAAAAGTACAACACAAAAGTGGTATTTGCAGTCTATTTCTAACACACCCCCATAGACTGCAAACCCCGATCAAGGAGCACATAGCCCCATGGAACGGAGAAGGCGATGGTGGTCAGCCTTGCCGAGAGCCTTTGTAAAGAGGTCGGCGAGGTTGCAATCTGAGGCGATGTACCGTACCGTCAGCTGGTCACTCTGAACAAGATCTCGAATGAAGAGATGACGAAGTTCGATGTGCTTGGTGCGAGAGTGGAACACAGGATCCTTGGTGAGGTGAATGGCACTCTGGTTGTCACACCACAGGATGGGCGACTGCTGGGGGTAGCCTAACTCAGCGAGGAGAAAGGAGAGCCAGCGTGCCTCTTGAGCAGCCATTGTGCCCGCGTAGAGCTCGGCCTTGCAGGACGACAGGGAGACTGCAGAGGACCGAGTGGAGCGCCAGCTGATGACTCCGCTACCAAGGGTGAAGCAGTACCCTTGGAGGAGCGTCTGTCAGTCTGGTCATCGGCCCATGAGGAGTCTGTGTGTCCCTCGAGCCTTGACTGGAGAGGTACCACCAAGAGAGAGGATGTGAGACTTGGTGGCTTGTAGATAGCGGAGGACCCTCTTGGCTGCAGACCAATGCGAGGCAGTGTAGCGTCCGGGGGAGACGTACCAAGAGAGGACACTAACCGGGTAAGCCAAGTCTGGTCGAGTGCACATCATGGCATACATGAGTGAACCGACTAGCTCAGGGTACGGGTCCTTGCAGGCGTCAGGAGAAGGGCCGTGAGCTGATGCTGTAGTGGGAGTGGAGTGGAGACAGAGTTACTGGAGTCCATGTCGAATCGCTTGAGAAGGTTGTCAATGTAGAGGGTGAGGGTGATCGTGCAAGCCTGGCGGTCACGGAGTGATCTCCATCCCCAGGTAGTTCTTGAGGTCACCAAGATCCTTCATGAGAAGGGCGGAGCTGAGAGCAGACTGGACAGCTGCCATGTCGGCTGGATCTCTGGCGGCTAGAATGAAGTCGTCGACGTAGACGAGGATGTAGAAGGGCTCGGAGGAGTGACGAACGAAGAGACTGGAATCTGAGGCAGAGGGATGGAAGTCAAGTGCGAGGAGGACTTCCTTCACCTTGTTGTGCCACTCACGAGGAGCCTGCTTGAGGCCATACACTGGGCGCTTCAGCTTCCACACTGTGTTGGCAGGAAGTGCCAAGAAACCCCGATGGCGTTCCATATGAACATCCTCCTTGAGCTGGCCTTGGAGAAAAATGGAGGAGGCGTCCATGGACTTGATCTCGAAGTTGCCGCGAGCGGCTATATCAAGAAGAGCGCGCACAGTCGGGAGCTTGGCCGTGGGCGAGAAGTTTCGAAGAAGTCGAGATACTCCTTCTGGGTGAAACCCTTTGCCACGTATCGTGCCTTGAACAGTGGAGCTTCGCCTGGGACTTGTTTGACTCGGAAGATCCATTTCCGCCGACGATGTTGACACCGCAAGGGGGAACAACATCGTCAAAGCTGTTGTTGTGAATGAACGCCTCGTTCTCCACATCCATTGCTGCCTTCCACTCCTTCTTATAAGGCCCCGAGAGGCTTCCTCTTTTGTGCGAGGAGTCGGAATGGTCGGGTTCTCCGGTGAAGTTGAGGAAGGGCAGTCGATAATATCCGGGAAGATGTGAGAGAGAAATTGGCTGACCGCGTAAAGGTCAACAGCTCCTCATGCCTGACCTCCAGAAATGCACGGGGCGGAATACAGATGGAGGGGACATCACCCCCGGCAGGAGGAGGCGGGGTGACCGAACACCGGATGGAGAAGCGGCTGGTCCCCAGGCGAGAGGCGGAGCCGGTCCCTTGGAACGAGTGCGACTAGAGACCGGAGACGAAGGGGCTGCGGTGGGACCGGAGGGACTGGGCGCCTCCGATAGGAGGACTGGTGAGCCGGGCTCGACGCGCGGGGAAGGCGGAGCAGGAGGAGGTGCCGCTGCGGAGGATACTGGGGAGGCCAGGTGAGACACGCCGGACGGAGAAGGTCCCGGAGAAGGGGCAGCGGCCGGAGGTGGGGCATCGAAGTCTGCCCAAACAAGCGTCGGGGGAGGTGGAGGTGGCTCGCCCGTGGTCACAGACTGGAATGGGCGTGTCTCATCGAAGATCACATCACGGCTGCGTATCAGCTGTCTGGTGATTGGGTTGAGAATAAGTAGTCTGGGGAGTCGGAGTTGTGCCCCAGTACATGCAGGTCTGGATTTTGGGACCAAGCTTGCCACCTTGCTTCCTGCGCGTGGTGGGGCTTAGCAACACATACGCGGTACACCCCCAGACGCGTAGAGAGCGGGCGGAAGGCGTGACCCCAAGCCAGAGAGCGGTAGGTTGTGGTGTCGGGCCGGTGGGGGATGCGGATAAAGATTGTAGAGGAGTGCCGCATGGAAGAGGCATATCCCCAGAGTGACGTGGTGCGTTGGCGTGACTGAGGAGGCAGCGAGCGATCTGAACCAAGGTGTGGTTGCGGCTCTCTGCAATGCCGTTCTGCTGCGGGCTTTCGGGGAGCGTGAAGGTTTGCCGAATCCCTTGGGCCGCACAGAAGTTATCGAGTTGCCATTGCGAAATTCTCCCCCGCCATCAGAATGGAGGCACTCAGAGGAGTGCCGAACGTGACTTGAGCCTGGCGCACCCACGCCATGATGACATCAGGTGCCTCCGCCTTTGGAATGCAGGAGGTGCACAGAAACATACCGCGAGTGGTCATCGACTAGTGTAAGAAAGTACCGATGACCGCCTCGGGATGCGACTGGAGCTGGGCCCCAGACATCCATGTGCACTAGGTCCAGCGGAGCAGCTGCGACGGATGGGGAGGAAGGGTGCGGCTGCTGCCTGAGCTTGCTCTTGGTGCAGTCCAGGCAGGTGGGTTGCAGGCGAGTCTGTTGGTGGAGGAAGCGCCGACGGGAGGACAAGAAAGAAGTTTCTTGGAAGCGATGTCGGCAAATGTACGGAAGTTGGGGTGACCCAAGCGATGGTGGTAGAGGATGGTTGGGTTGGCGAAGCTGCGAAACGAACACGGAGTGGTGGTGGCAGCTTGCGCTTGGGAGAGGGCGGCGAGAGGTGCAGGTGAACGCAGCGTGTAGAGCTTGCTGCTGTTGAGTGTGAAGCATGCTAGGAGCTTGTTGGACTTAGGGTCGAGGAGGTCACAGTGATCCGAGTGTGCTGGGAAGATCGTGGTGACGCCTGCCCGTTGGAGCTCGTGTTGGGCCACGAGATTTTGGCGTAGTGTGGGAACACAAATGCCGGTGAACACTGCCCGAAAGAAAAGCTGGGCACGGAACTGTGGAGGAGCCTTGGCGTGTGTTGTGAAACTGGAGTCTGCTCCTAGTAGACGGATTGGTATCTCGTATGGCTTGAAGGAATGTTCTTCCTTGAGAACCGTGTGAGTGCCCCACTGTCGAGGGTGAACTCTATTGTGGCTGAGGTGCTTTGTGAGCCGGGACACTGCGAAATCGTCTCATTAATCATGGCAGTGCCAGGGAACAACATGTGAGGCGCACATCAGCAGTGCAGCTACAGCAGCCTGCACGGATTCCTGCGCTTCGACTTGATTGACTTGGCGAGGAGCACGATTGACCATCCAGCTTGGCGGCTTCGAGGCGGTCCCATTGACGGCATACCACTCGTCATCCTTTTTCTTAAGCAGGAGGCAAGGGCGTGGTTGGTGCCGCCACACACCTGGCCGCACGAGGGCCGCGCTTGATGACATAGGGACACGGGGGGAAGCGGTTGCGCTGGAATGGCACCGAAGCGGCATAGGCTTGAGGCACGGGAGCGCGGATTGCATTGGCCTTGGCTTGAGCGCTGTTGTCCTTTTCGGCAGAAAGGAGCGCGGATGAGACCTTGGCAAATGTGAGGTCTGCAGGAGCAAGGCCCAAGAGCATCTTGCGTGTGACTTCGTATGCCGGAGTGAGGCCGACTAGGAGAGCGGCTGCAGGGGCTTGCTCGGGGAAGACTATCCCCAACTGTTTGAGTTCACCATGAATGGACTGCACCTTGGTGACATAGTCCGCCATGCCTGGCGAGTCCTCGAGCCGCACTTGGAACATGCTGGGGATGAGTATAGCAACTCCCACTGCAGTCTTGTTCAGGAAGCGATCCTCGAGGTAGAGCCAAATGGCGTTGGCAGACGGGTAGTTGTGGTAGGTTTCGACGAGTTCGGGAGGAGTGGTGCCCATGAAGACACTAATGACCGCACCATCGGCCTTCTCCCAATTCTTGTACTTGAGCAGTTGCAGCAGCATAAATTGCTTCGGCGGCGGCATTAGCTGGATCGGCGGACCTCTCGGGTTTAGGAGGCTCTTTGCCGTCACCGATGTTGAGAAGGACGTCGGTGAGCTCGAGCCCTTCACCTCGCGACTGAGGAGGTGCTTGTCGACACTTTAGCGCCAAGCCTTGTAGTTGGAGCATGTGCCGTCCGGCTCGAGACGAAGGAGCGGGATCGGGGTTGGCGAGTGAAGTGGTTGAGTAAGCCATTGTCGGTGTGCAGCGCGGCACTTCTGGAAATTGGTCCGACGAGAATTGCTGAAAATCACTCTGACGGCTGTATCAAAATGCCGCTAAGTAGGAAATGGCGTCGGCGAAAATTCGTTAAAACGCCGACTTGAAACTGAATCTGAGCCTATGTCTAACCCCGGACCCACACACCCCCCACACACCCCCAGGCCCTGTCCCGCAGCTACACAGCTCCGCAAACCAGCTCCGCAACCAGCTCCGCTCCGCTTCAACCTGTGTACCTGCTCTTGCTTGACGCGAGACGTTCGTGGAGGCGATTTCGCGAGGGGAGTTCGCCTATTCTGGCGGGGTCTAATGGGAAACTTGAGAACGAGTTTTAAGAGATGGTCGAAATAGAGATTCGACCAAGGAGAACCGAGGAGGAAATCGACGATTGAGAAGCGTGAAAGCTTCAGAGATGAGAAACTCAACGAGGTTGTGCGCGAAGGCGGTCGACGATGGAGAGGCGCGACTGCAGAGTGGAGCACGTCGAAATTCCGACGACTCAAAACGAATGTCGCGACGATGAAGTGCGCGTAGCGCGGGCACGTTGAGATTAGGACCTCGATCCGCGTGTGCGGATAGGTCGCTCTGATACCATGTAAGAAATAGAGTTGAAATGATTGAATAGGTAAGGAGCCCAAGGCTCTATAAGTATATGGCAAGGTGAGAGAGAATGGATGAAGGGGGAATTGGAGGGAATCCCCATTGGGATCTCCGGAATCTCCAATTGGGTAATTGGAGATTGGGGGGATCACCATTGGGTGAGGTTGGGATTTGTGAGTACACCCCAACCCACTAGAACATTGATCACCTAAACTAGGATATAAAAGTACAAATACAAAAGTGCTATTTGCAGTCTAATTCTTACAGTAACGAGAGAGGACACTAACCGGGTAAGCCAAGTCTGGTCGAGTGCACATCATGGCATACATCACTGAACCGACTAGCTCAGGGTACAGGTCCTTGCAGGCGTCAGGAGAAGGAATCGGAGGGGCCGTCAGCTGATGCTGTAGTGGGAGTGGAGTGGAGACAAAGTTAACTGGAGTCCATGTCGAACCGCTTGAGAAAGTTGTCGATGTAGGACTGGGAGAGGGTGATCGTGCAAGGCTGGCAGTCACGAGTGATCTCCATCCCCAGGGCATTCCATGTGAACATCCTCCTTGAGCTGGCCTTGGAGAAAAGCGGAGGAGGCGTCCATGGACTTGATCTCGAAGTTGCCGCAAGCGGCTATATCAAGAACCGCGCACAGTCGGGAGCTTGGTCGTGGGCGAGAAGGTTTCGAAAAAGTTGAGATACTCCTTCTGGGTGAAACCCTTTGCCACGTAACTTGCCATGAACAGTGGAGTGGAGGCCTTGGAGTTGTTTGTGTTAGAATATACCATGCTATGCTAGTTGTGTATATTGTGTTTACATCCCTAGTTGGGTGTACACCTGTGTTGGGGTGTCAATCCAACCCAATTGTGGTTGGAGCCCCCAAAAACAAGGACCACAATTGTGGGGGCACCACAAGTGGGTTGGCTAAACCACTGGTGGTACACCACACTTGGACCACCTCCAACTGGTGGTCAACCACATTTGGAAGGAATCCTCCCTCCCTTGTGATTGGTCCTAACCCCCCTTTCCCTTCCAACCTTCCCTTCCTAGCTCATCTCTCTCTTCCTATGTAATGCCTTTGCTTCATCAATAAACTCAACCTTTCTGTTTCTAACATGGTATAGAGCAATAATGGCTCACGCCAACTTTTAAATCCCGATCCTTCCCTACGCTTCCGCCCCGTCCCCTTCCGATGTGCACCTCATTGCCGTCCCCTCCATCGCCGCTGCTAGACTCCTAGCCGCCGCCTCTCAACTAGTTTCCTGTTGGGTGGATTTTCAAAAACCCCCAATGCGCCAAACGCCATAGCTCGCTCGATAGATGACAGAATTGAGTGATTCGACTTGCAAAAAAAACGCCCTTGATGTCAGCTACAACGTCGTAAAATTTCGGACTGTTTCATCGCTTGGATTGTCAGATATCGCTTTCCGAAGTTTGCACACTTTCCTGGATGTGATCACGAAGTGCTACTGAAATTTCTACCAAGTCCTATTTTCATCAGCTAACTGCCATCTTTCCCCATCTTTTGCCTCCTCACCTGCCACGCTCATCGCCGCCTTAGCACTGCTGCAGCCGTAGCAGCAGCAGCAGAAGCAGCAGCAGCACGAGAAGGAGCAGCAGACTCAGCAGCAGCAGCAGCAGCAGCAGCAGCAGCAGCAGCAGCAGCAGCAGCAGCAGTAGCAGCAGCAGCAGCAGCAGCTGAAGGAGCAGCAGCAGCAGCAGCAGCAACAGCGGCAGCAGCAGCAGTGGCAGCAGCAGCAGCGGCAGCAGCAGCAACAGCAACAGCAGCAGCAGCAGCAGCAGCAGCAGCAGAAGGAGCAGCAGCCAGCAGCAGCAGCAGCAGCAGCAAGCAGCAGCAGCAGCAGCAGCAGCAGCAGCAGCAGCAGCAGCAACAGCAGCAGCAGCAGCAGCAGTATCTACAGCCATCCCCATCCTCCCCTCCTCTTTGAGCCGCTGCGGGTCCACCCGCTGCCGCTCCCTCCCGGCCACCGCGGGTCCACCCGCCGTCGCCTTCCTCCCACTCCGTGTCACCAATGGCATCCTTTCCCCCTCCCGTCGACGTCTCGACCCTCGATTATCTCGTGCGCGCTGCCGACAACTCAGCAACCAACTGGTATTCCTTCGTCGGCAGCCTCCACCGCGTCCTCGGCAGTGCTTATGTCCTGCCGTTCCGCCTCCTGGACATCATGCTTGGTCTCCCAGAGGGTGACCTTGGGGACCCGCCGCCTCACCCTGGCGATCCCCCCCCTCTCATTCCCCATCCCGGCGAGGAACCTCCGCCCCCCATGGTACCCGTTGGCACCAGCACTCGCGCTGCCACCGCTGAAGTTGAGCAGCTCTTCCTTACTCAGCGTCGTGAGTTCCTCGTGCTCCATACTAATTACCTGATCGCGTTGGAGGAACACGAGCGGTCGGCAACCCTCCGCACCCAGCATGCCGCTACCGCCGCCGCTTATGCCGCTGACTCTGCGCGATTTGCTGAGCGTCGTCGCGCCTGGCTCGAGGCGGACAGCCGTGCTACTGGTGCCCTTCTCCTTGCCATCCCGTCTGCGCTCATGCGCAACTTCCAGGCACGTCGCATCGGCTCCCGCCAGATCTGGCTCGAGCTTGAGGCAATGTTCGAACGCACCGACTTCGATGCTGTCGGACCGCTCTTCAAGGAATACTTCAGCATCACGATCGAACATAGTGCTGTGCCGTTGACTACACCAGCCGTCTCCTGGACCTTGCCTCCCGCCTTGAGGCTCGCCAGACTACTCTCCCCCCCAACCTTCAGATCTACCGTCTCCTCGAAGGCCTCTCCCCTCAATATGAAGTGCGCGTCATCGCCTTCACTGAGGCTCAGCCCCGCGCCTCCCTTGACACTGTGGTCCAATGGGATCATTGACGCTGAGGCCCGCCTTCTCTCAACCCCCCCCTCCGGCCTGAACTCCACCGAGTCCCAAAACCCCCAGCTTGCAGTCACACAGCTGCGTCGTGGCGGGCGCCCACGTGGCGGCCGCACCAACCCTCAGGGAGGGGGTGGAGGTGGCGGTTGTGGGGCAGCGGAGCCGGCGGCGGTGGTGGCGGGGTCGAGGGTGGCAGCAGTGGTGGTGGTAGAGGCAGTGGTAGCTCATCTGGTAGCCGTGGTGGCCGCCCTGGCACTCTCCCCCCATGTTCCTATCTTCGCCGTTTTGGTCCCAGGGCGGGTGAGCGCTGCACCCAAACCAACCATCCCCCCGCGACCTGCTTCAAGGCGTATGATGACGCCTGGTTCGAGCGCGGCAACACTGGCACACCCCCACGCTGGTCTGCCATGGATCCCCGCCCCTCTCTCCAGGATGTCAAAACTCTTCCGTCTTTCCTCCCCTCTCATCTTCAACTCTCCTCCTCCTCCTCCTCTGTCGCTGACCCCATAACTCCCCAGGAGCTGTAGAAAGTTTCGCCGCTTCCAGCAGCTGCAGCTGCTGCAGCAGCAGCAGCAGCAGTGGGGCTCTGGTGGTCAGGCTGCAGCCGCAGCTGCAGGAGCCGCAGCCGCAGCATCTGCATGGCAGCAGCAGCAGCTTGGCTTTGGCACCGCCGCCATGGCTGCCACAGCCACACCAGGTCCTCCTGGCTTTCCCCTCTGGGGCTCTCCTTCCCCTAGTGCTCCCGCCTCCCACTCCAGCTTTCTAGGCGAGCTCATGCGTTCTTCCCCTGCTTCCACTTCCATGTATCCCTCTGTTTTTAATGCCAGTGATTTCCAGTACCCCGTGTCTTCAGCTCCCTCCTCGCTCACGATTGACTTTGTTCTCGATAGTGGTGCCACTGAAACTGCCCTCAAAGACGCCGGCACCCTCACCTCCCTCCCTTTCCCCACCAACGTTCATGGTGCTGATTCCAGCTTCTCCATCCCTTGCACTCATCTCTCCACCCTCCCCTGCCCCCCCTTCCCCTCTGGAGTGGTCACCGGTCTCCACATTCCCTCCCTTCGTCATAACCTGCTCTCCATTCGTGAACTCCAACAGGCTGGCATCACTACCCTCTTCCCCGCCTCTGCCACCTACTGTGACCTCCTCCACGGCCCCACTCGCCGCCTCCTTCATCGCCTCCCACTTTGCCCTCGCTCTCGTCAGTACATCCTCCGCACACCCCGCCCCTCCTCATGCCACGTGACCACTCGTGCAGGCACCTCCACTCTCCCCCTCCCCTCCCTCTAGAGCCACCTTCCTCCAACTCCACCTCCTCCTCATGCTCTTGTCGCGCACTGTCCCACCCCGCTGTTCTCATCCACCACCGCCTTGGTCATATGAACTTTCCCACACTTCGTAAAGCCGTCTCCTCCCGCTTGCTTGACGGTCTTCCCCCCACTCTTCCTCCCCTCCCGTCCTCTTCCGCTCCCCCATGCGCCACATGCATTCATGGAAAGCTCAAACAACAGCCTCACCTCAGTCATCCTTCCTTTGCTGCTGCCCCCCTTTACCTCGTCCACATGGACCTCTGGGGCCCTAACCCTTCCCCTTCCCGCCAAGGGCACCGGTACATGCTTGTCCTAGTCGACGACCACAGCAGGTACTCCTCGGTGTTCCTCCTCCACACGAAGGCCGAGGCCCCTGCTGTCATCGTTACCTGGGCCGAGCAGTGCCGAGTCCACTTTGGTCGCCCCATCCGCCGCCTCCATTCCGACGGCGGTGGTGAGTTTCTCAACCGCACCCTCTCCTCCTACTGCTCAACCCATGGCATCCAGCAGACTCATACCCTTCCCCACTCCCCTCAGCAGAACGGTGTTGCTGAGAGTCGCATTCGTGAGATCACCAAGACGGCCCGCTGCCTCCTCACTCATGCCTCCACGCCCCCTTCTCTTTGGGGCTATGCCCTTGTCCATGCTGCTCTTCTTACTAATCTTTACCCACATTCTCAACGCCAATCTGTCACTCCCACTGAGCTCTGGGCTAGCACCAAGCCAGATGCTGCCATTCTCCGTATCTGGGGCTGCAAGGCATATGTCCTCATCCCCCCACCTGACCGCTCTCGGCAGGCAGGAAAGCTCGCCTCCAAGGCCATTGAGTGTGTCTACCTTGGCCACGCTCGCTCTGCCCCTGGTTACCTCTTCCTTCACCCGTCCTCAGGCCGCCTCCTACAGAGCCGTGACGGGGTGTTCGATGAGAGCATCCCGTTCTATCATTCTGTTCCGCCTTCCGACCCCTTTCCTCCTCTCTCCCGCCCCCTCACCTGGGCTGATGCTGTCATTCCCCCACTCCTTCCCCATGATCCCCTCCTTCCTCCAAATCCTGCTCCTCCCCCTCCTCCTTCCTCAGGTGACATTTACGACCCAGCTGTCCCTGACTCCCCTGCTCACTCTGCCTCATCGCACCAACACCAGCAGCAGCAGCAGCAGCAGCAGCAGCAGCAGCAGCAGCAGCAGCAGCAGCAGCAGCAGCAGCAGCAGCAGCAGCAGCAGCAGCAGCAGCAGCAGCAGCAGCAGCAGCAGCAGGAACAGCAGCAGCAGCAGCAGAAGGAGCAGCAGCAGCAGCAGCAACAACAGCAGCAGCAGCAGGTGCAGCAGCAATAGCGGATGGAGCAGCAGCAGCAGCAGCAGCAGCAGCAGCAGCAGCAGCAGAAGCAGCAGCAGCAGCAGCAGCAGCAGGAGGTGCAGCAGCGGATGGAGCAGCAGCAGCAGCAGCAGCAGCAACCGCAGGCAGTGCAGCAACAGCAGGCGCAGTAGGAGGTGCAGCAGCAGCACCAGCAGCAGCCACAGCAGCAGCAGCAGCAGCAGCAGCAGCAGCCACTGCAGCAACCTCATCGGCATCGCCGCACTTCCTCTCCGTTCATCCTCCCACGCATCCACACTCGCTCTCACGGCCCACTCATAGGCCATCCATGGGGTTGGCCAACACCACCCCCACCCTCCCTTCCCTTCATTGAGGACTCCCATGAGGAGCTCATTGGCGTTCAGCAACAAACACCTTCCCTCACGCCTCTCTACCCGGGCTTCCTTGGCCTCCTCATCCTTGGCATCGCTACCGCTCCCACCAGATTCACTCCGTCAAACTTCCTTGAGGCCATCACCTGCCCCGATGCTGCCAAGTGGATCCAGGCTATCTTTGCTGAATGCGAGGCCTTCATCCGCAATGCCTCATTCGTTAACATTGTCCCCTCTCCTGACGACGTCATTGTTGAAGGCCTGTGGGTGTTCCGAGTGAAGCAGCTGCCGGGTGAGGAGCCGGTCTACAAGGCCCGGTATTGTGCCAAGGGCTTCACCCAAACCCATGGCATCGACTACTGGGAGACATTCTCTCCCACTGCCAAGCTCCCAACTCTCCGTGCCATCCTTGACTATGCTGTTCGCATTGGCATGGAGATTGCCTCCATGGATGTCTCCAACGCCTTCCTGCAAGGCGAGCTCCAGGAGCGGGTCCTCTTGCGGCGGCCTCCAGGCTTTCATGCAGCCTTCCCTGCCAACACAGTCTGGGAGCTGCGCCGCCTGGTTTATGGCCTCAAGCAGGCTCCTCGCGAGTGGCACAACAAGCTGGCCGCCACTCTGCAGTCCTTGGGGTTCCATGCCTCTCAGTCTGATGCCAGCCTTTTCCTTCGCTCCTCTCCCACCCGCTTCTTCATCCTGGTGTATGTCGACGACATGATCCTGTTCGCTGACGATGCTGCCGCCATGCAGCAAGTGAAGGACGCCCTGCATGCGCGCCTCAAGTGCAAGGACCTGGGTGAGCTCAAGCACTATCTGGGCATGACCATCACCCGGGACCGCACATCGCGCACCATTACCCTCTCTCAGTCCTTCTACATCGACCAAGTCTTGCAGCGGTTCGACATGGCGCAGGCCAAGCCGGTTACCACTCCCCTGCAGACCGACCACCAGCTTGCCCCTCCTCCTGCTCCCTCCTCCTCTAACCATCCTTACGCTGAGCTCGTCGGCTCGCTGATGTACGCTATGATGTGCACCCGCCCCGACCTTGCCTACCCCATCAGTGTTCTTGCTCGATTCGTCCGTACCGGTCGCCACACTGATGAGCACTGGGCTGCAGCGAAGCGGGTCCTCCGCTACCTCCGTGGTACCAAGGACTATGTCCTCACCCTCGGAGGCTCTTCTCCTCCCCTCCTCTCTGGCTTCAGTGACTCCTCCTGGGCTGACTCCCAGCCGGATCGCCGTTCCTCTCAAGGCTACGGCTTCACCCTTGGCAGCGGCCTCATCAGCTGGCGCTCCACTCGCTCCTTCTCCATTGCCCTCTCATCCTGCGAGGCTGAGCTCTATGCTTGCACCATGGCCGCTCAGGAGGCTCGCTGGCTCACCTTCCTCCTTGCTGAGATCGGTGCTCCTCAGCGCTGTCCCACCCTCTGGTGCGACAACGCCAGCACCATCCATCTCACAAAGGACCCTGTCTTCCATGGCCGCTCCAAGCACATTGAACTCCGCTACTTCTTCGTTCGAGAGTTGGTCCAGCAAGGTCACTTGGTGGTCCGCAAGATCGCTGCAGAGGCCAACTTGGCCGACATCTTCACCAAGGCCCTCCCGAAGACCGCGCACTCTGCCCTCCTCCGCCTTCTCGGCCTTGGGCCCCGCCCCCCTTCCTGATTCTGGGGTTGTACCCTACATATCCACTAGCTTTGCATGCTATGGGGTTGTGTTAGAATATACCATGCTATGCTAGTTGTGTATATTGTGTTTACATCCCTAGTTGGGTGTACACCTGTGTTGGGGTGTCAATCCAACCCAATTGTGGTTGGAGCCCCCAAACACTGGTGGTACACCACACTTGGACCACCTCCAACTGGTGGTCAACCACATTTGGAAGGATCCTCCCTCCCTTGTGATTGGTCCTAACCCCCCTTTCCCTTCCAACCTTCCCTTCCTAGCTCATCTCTCTCTTCCTATGTAATGCCTTTGCTTCATCAATAAACTCAACCTTTCTGTTTCTAACAGTTTGACTCGGAAGATCCATTTTCCGCCGACGATGTTAACACCGGAAGGGGGAATGACATCGTCAAAGCTGTTGTTGCGAATGAACGCCTCCTTCTCCACATCTATTGCTGCCTTCCATTCCTTCTTATAAGGCCCCAAGAGAGCTTCCTCTTTTGTGCGAGGAGTCGGAATGGTCGGGTTCTCGGTGAAGTTGAGGGAAGGGCAGTCAGTAATGTCCGGGAAGATGTGAGAGAGAAATTGGCAGACCGCGTGAAGGTCAAACAGCTCCTCATGCCTGTCCTTGAGAGGTGCACGGAGGGGGAATACGGATGGAGGGGACATCACCCCTGGCAGGAGGAGGCGGGGTGACCGAACACCGGATGGAGAAGGCGGCTGGTCCCCATGCGAGAGGCGGAGCCGGTCCCTTGGAACGAGTGCGACTAGAAACCGGAGACGAAGGTGGCTGCGGGGGGACCGGAGGGACTGTGCATCTCCGGTAGGAGACTGGTGAGCCGGGCTGGACGCGCGGGGAAGGCAGAGAAGAAGGAGGTGCTGCTGCGGAGGATACCGGGGAGGCCGAGTGAGACACGCTGGATGAAGAAGGCCCTAGAGAAGGAGCAGCGGCCGGAGGTGGGGCATCAAAGTCTGCCCATACAAGCGTCGGGGGAGGTGAAGGAGGCTCGCCTGTGGTCGCAGAGTGGAAGGGGCGTATCTCATCAAAGACGATATCATGGCTGCGAATCAGCTGTCTGGTGATGGGGTTGAGGAATAAGTAGTCTGTGGAGTCGGAGTTGTGCCCCAGGTACATGCAGGTCTGGGTTTTGGGACCAGGCTTGCCACCTTGCTTCCTACCCGTGTGGGGGCTCAGCAACACATATACGGTACACCCCCAGATACGTAGAGAGTGGGCGGAAGGCGTGGCCCCAAGCCAGAGAGTGGTAGGTATGGTGTCGGGCCGGTGGGGATGAGCATAAAGATTGTAGAGCAGAGCCGCATGGAAGAGGGCATATCCACAGAGTGACCTTGGTGCGTTGGCGTGACTGAGGAGGCAGCGAGCGATTTGAACCAAGGTGTGGTTGCGGCTCTCTGCAACGCCATTCTGCTGCGGGCTTTCAGGGAGCGTGAAGGTTGCCGAATCCCTTGGGCCGCGCAGAAGTTATCGATTTTGCCATTGCGAAATTCTCCCCCGCCATCAGAATGAAGGCACTTCAGAGGAGTGCCGAACGTGACTTGAGCCTGGCGCACCCACGCCATGATGACATCAGGTGCCTCCGCCTTGGAATGGAGGAGGTGCACGGAAACATACCGCAAGTGGTCATCAACTAGTGTAAGAAAGTACCGATGACCGCCACGGGATGCGACTGGAGCTGGGCCCCAGACATCCATGTGCACTAGGTCCAGCGGAGCAGCTGCGACGGATGGGGAGGAAGGGTGCGGCTGCTGCCTGAGCTTGCTCTTGGTGCAGTCCAGGCAGGTGGGTGCAGGTGAGTCTGTTGGTGGAGGAAGCGCCGACGGGAGGCCAAGAAGAAGTTTCTTGGAAGCGATGTCGGCAAGCGTACGGAAGTTGGGGTAACCCAAGCGATGATGGTAGAGGATGGTTGGGTTGGCGAAGCTGCGACACGAACACAGAGTGGTGTTGGCAGCTTGCGCTTGGGAGAGGGCGGCGAGAGGTGCAGGTGAACGCAGCGTGTAGAGCTTGCTGCTGTTGAGTGTGAAGCGTGCTAGGAGCTTGTTGGACTTAGGGTCAAGGAGGTCACAGCGATCCGAGTGTGCTGGGAAGATCGTGGTGATGCCTGCCCGTTGGAGCTCGTGTTCGGCCATGAGATTGTGGCGTATGGTGGGAACACACATGCCGGTGACACTGCCCGAAGGAAAAGCTGGGCACGGAACTGTGGAGGAGCCCTTGGCGTGTGTTGTGAAACTGGAGTCTGCTCCTAGTAGACAGATTGGTGTCTCGTATGGCTTGAAGGAGTGTTCTTCCTTGAGAACCGTGTAAGTGGCCCCACTGTCGAGGGTGAACTCTATTGTGGCTGAGGTGCTTTGTGAGCCGGGACACTGCGAAATCGTCTCATTAATCACGGCAGTGCCAGGGAACAACATGTGGAGGCGCACATCAGCAGTAGGAGCTACAGCAGCCTGCACGTATTCCTGCGCTTCGACTTGATTGACCTTGCGAGGAGCACGATTGACCATCCAGCTTGGTGGCTTCAAGGCGGTCCCACTAACGGCATACCACTCATCATCCTTCTTCTTGAAGCAGGAGGCGATAGCGTGGTTTGTGCCGCCACACACCTGGCCAGCAGGAAGGCCGCGCTTGATGACGTAGGGATACGGGGGAAAGCGGTTGCGCTGGAATGGTGCCGAAGCCGCATAGGCTTGAGGCACGGGAGCGCGGATTGCATTGGCCTTGGCTTGAGCGCTGTTGTCATTTTCGGCAGAAAGGAGCGCGGATGAGACCTTGGCAAATGTGAGGTCCGCAGGAGCAAGACCCAAGAGCATCTTGCGTGTGACTTCGTATGTCGGAAAAAGGGCGACTAGGAGAGCGGCTGCAGGGGCTTGCTCGGGGAAGACTATCCCCAACTGCTTGAGTTGACCATGAATGGACTGTATTAGAAATAGATTTCAAATCCTACTTTTGTAGTTGTACTTTTATATCCTAGATTAGGTTAGGAATGTTTAGTGGGTTGGGGTGTACTCACTAAATCCCAACCTCACCCAATTGTGATCCCCACAATCTCCAATTACCCAATTGGAGATTCCGGAGATCCCAATGGGGATTCCCTCCGATTCCCCTTTCCTCCATTCTCCCTTACCTTGCCATGTACTTATAGAGCCTTGGGCTCCTTACCTAATCAATCATTTCAGCTCTTTTTCTTACATGGAATCAGAGCGACCTATTCGAACACGTGCCCGCGCTGCGCACACCTCATCATTGCGACATTCATCTCGAGTCGTCGGAATTTTCGACGTGCTCCACTCTGCAAA